ATATAAAATAAAAGTTTAGTCTTCAAATTAAAAAAAAAAAAAAATTGATGTCTTTGAATTTATATATAATAAATTTCTAAATTTTTAATTTTATATCTCATATATTTTTACACTTTCTCTTTTAAATTTAAAAATAAAAGTTTAGAAGTTTTATTATATATGAAATCAAATTTTATTAAAATTTTAAATTCATTTGAAATCTATTAAATATAAAATTAAAATTTTAAAACCTAGTTTATTAGATAAAAAAAATAAAATTAAAAATTTAATTGATATTAATTTTAATTAATTAACTAGCTCAAAGGAAATAATGGTAGCTTACATTGTCATTCATAAATACATCTAATTATTTTAGGCGTAGCCAACAAAAGTTCACTTGAATCGAGGAGCAACCTGCCCCTTGTCTCTCTCTGCCATACCTCAAATGAAAGCTCAAATTTCAAAGACTGAAGAATATGATCTGATGGCGAAAAGAGAGAGATGAAATGTAAGCTCAAATTTCTAAGACCGAAGAATATGATATGATGTCGAAAAGAGAGAGAGAGATGGATACTGTTCTCTCGCTCTCTTTGTTGTCTTACTTCTTGTGAACACTACAAAATCCACTGCTCTCTAATGTTTTTTCTTCCTCGAAACAAATTAATTAAATACTCAATATCTCAATAAATGGAATCCATAAATCATCCACAGTTCAACAATCTGATATCGAATTCGAAGATCTGTCTAAAATTACACTAACACAGGAACTCTCAACTCAAACATATCAGAGGAAAAATCAAAGGAACAAAAAATAAGATCAGCGACCAGATCTCAGAGCTATGTACATGCAAATTCGTCTTCAAATCACTTGTTAGCAATAATGTTAGTAGTTTCAGAGACAGAGAGCGAGGACGACGATCTATTCTGTTTCCTGAACTTGAAGACGTAAATAAAAGCAGAAGCAATCAGCAAAGAAACGCCTATAACTCCACATACCAGACTCGCCACAAGCAATGCGCCGCGAATGTGGTCTCCGCTGCCTCCATCGGCAGCGGCTTCAGACCGGTCACGGTGGCTACGATTCCACCACTGCGACGGCAGGCTAGTGTTCATCGCCTTCGGAAGTGCGACATCGGAAGAAGACCAGGAGTTTCCTTTGAAGAAAGATTGCATATCCGGCGAGGAGTTTTCAATAGCGCCAGGGTTTTGGTACTCCAAGCCGTGCTCCGATGGACGCAGGTCCCTAGCATTTGAGCCTCCGGCAAGAAAAATGACGGCAAGCGAGCAATAGATAGCGGCGAATGCAGCAATCTCCGAGGAAATCATCGTTTTATGGTATGTGGTGGTGTTGCGATTGATTTTATCTGAGAGAGTGAGGAAAGCGGAGCAATGGCGCTGCTGCTTTTATACGGAAGAGCAAAGCGAAACGACGTCGGATTGAAGGAATAGCTTTTCCCTTTGTCGAGTTGTGTTGGAGATAGCGGAAATTGTGGCCGAAAACGGCTTCTGCAGAAAGACGACCGCGGTAAAAATAATTAAACTACGGTTAAAACTTAACTCATCCTATTTTAATTAAATTATTTTTTAAAATCTTAAAATTAATCCATGCTCTTAGTTTATTATTAAAAATAAATTATAGTTAATAATAAAAATAATTTATAATTAAAAAGAAAAGTCGTGCTATCAATTTTCTGAGAATAAAAAAAAATAAAGGTGTTGACAAAAGCTAATTACTATTTTAGAATTTAGAGAGAAAAATAAAAAGTAAATTAATATTTTTATAAATAAATAAATAAATAAATAAAGGAAAGCCGCCGCTGGATTCGTTGTCTGGAATTGGGCCGTAAAAAAGAGGCTCGTGAAGGCGACTGTAGCTCCGTGATTAGGGCTGAACCATTTTTTGTAATTAAATAAATTTTAAAATTAAAATCAATAATTACGGGAAACCCATAATTTATCCGACCCTTCTATTTTGGCCCCACCATAATTTCTCTCTTTTTTTTTTTTTTTTTCTATTTTCTTGTAATATTTTCTATTTCGTCCTTCTACTTTTTAAAATTAATATTTTAGTCCTTAAATTTTAATTTTAATTTTTATTTGATTTTCGCAAGTTTAAAAAAAGTGAGATGATGAAACTTTACCATCTGAATTTGATTTTTAATTAATTTTTAAAGTTTGAAATTAATTTCTAAATGGTTTTTTAAATCGTCTTAATTACTTAATTACTTAAAAACGGATGATGTCATAATTATTATGTATTTTATAATGACTTGAACGTTTATATATATATATATATATATATATATTTTTTGACATTTTTTTTTTAATTTTTTATACTCGAACGAGACCGCTTCAAAAACCCATTTTAAAATTTTGAACCATTTTTTTTTAGATCTAACTTATAATTATAAATAAAATATTTATAGAAATCTAAACCGTTTGAATACAAAGACCCCTACATCGTGGAAATGCATTTTAATAGAATTTTAGCTTTAGTTGATCGTGACCAAGAAATCACTGTTTCACTTAGTGGGTCGGAATGTCAGACAACTTAATTTATTGTGTCAATTATCGGTGAAGGATGCTCGTTGTAGTAATTTTTTACAAATATCTTAATAAGAAATTAATAATTGAATGCTATGTCCTTTTGCTCATAGGTAATTGTAATTCAATAATATATTTGGTACTATACATCCTTTTTCTTCTTTTAATTTGGGCCCTCAATTTATTTTTGTGTGAAAAAAAAAATAAAAATAAATAATGTTAGTTCACTTTAGGGTGCAATTATAAAGATTTAATTATAAACCTGAAATAAAAAAAATAAAATAAATGTTAATGAATTATCTGTTTCGATAATCGATATATTTTGAAAATATCTATTTTAATTTGAATATTTTGAAAAAAAAATATTCTTGACCGTTGTTGCTATTATACTTTTAACGAATTGACGAGATATAACTAATACGGGAAGATGAGATATAGTTAAAAGGTACGTAAATTGGAAAATATTTGTATACTTGTTGGTTAAGCAAGAACATCCACCATCATTAAATGGTTGACAAGTGAGAGAATAATGTAGAAAGAGACGAAGTATATATTATTTTTTAAAAATAAATAAATAAATAAGTGTCAAATTTCTAGTGGTGGTTAGAAGGAAAATTTAGTAAAATATTAATTTAATTGGTAGATAATTATTAAAACAAAAATATCATTAATTTTAAGACTAAAGATATAAATAAATAAATATCTTAAGAGTTATATATATATATATATATATATATATATATATTAATTAGGCATGTTGTATTTTTAACTATAAAATATATGTGAATTGTTAATGAAATTCAAATAAAATAATATTAAAATATGTATTTTAGCTTTTAAAAATGTTTTTATTTTGAATATATCTATAGAAAGTAGATAAAAGGTCACGAAAAAAAGATTCATATATCAATTAAAAGTTCAAACTAATAATCATATTTATTTGAATCATAAAATTAATTTACAGTTTTTTTAATGATTTATAACTATTTTCACTTGAATTTTTTTAGATTAATTATTAATTTTTTAAAAAAGTTTTATATAATATAATTATTAGTTTGAGATTTTAATTGGTTTGGGTGTGAATTGATTTTTTAATTTTTTTAATATATTTTTTTAAGATAGGTTTAAAATCATAATCTGAGTTTTAAAAAGGCTTTTTTTTTTCAATTTTATTTTAAAAAATTAAACGAATAAAAATTACTTCCATCCACGTGTTTCTTTCCTTCTTTCTTTTATCATCCACTTTTTAAAATATTTTCAAAATCCAAATAGATTATTTTATTGCAAAAATAATTATGGAAATATTATTTTCAACCTTAATTTTTTTAAAAAAATAACAAACATATATCATAAATAATTATGAACTCAAGTTGTTAATAATTACTCACTTTTTCTGAACTGTAAAAAAGGTTGAATATAAGGACATTGAATTGACCACCATAGTCGACAAGTCGATAAGAGAAGAGATGTAAAAGTAACGCGTTCCTGTATTTGCCGACAAATCGAATTCCCTTTTCTTTAGAATGAAGGCAATCTTGTTGGTCTTTAGCTTTTGAAAGAAACCAAATCCAAAACACTATTTTCCCTTCAATCATTATTACATCTATTTATGAATAGCTGCTATTGGTATCTCCCTTTTTTTTCTCTTTATACTTTTCAAATACCTAATTTTTTCGAGTTTGAAAATTGATCTTTCGGATCCCTACTAAAATGTTTGGTTTAATGTGATCTTGTAGCTGTTCTCTTAAGTTTCGATAAATTTAAGATCAAAATTATAACACTTGTTTAAATTACTTTCTTTAGGGTCTCGTTCCCTGAGTTCAAGAGTATACACTCTCCTATCGTATGGTTCCGTCCCTAGCATCAAAACTAGCTTCTTTCTTCAGGTAAGGAGGTCTCTCCGACTTGTTAGTTTGTTGCTATCACCTATACAAATGAAGAGATGAGGGGCTAGAGATCTGATCTCATCAAATTTCACCAAATCGTGTGAAAGGGAAGGGATGGCTACTAGCCTATTCTTCCAGCATTAGAGTGATACATAACCTTTTTTTTTAAACAAAGAGATGAATAGATAGAACCATGATACATTTCAACACCCCGTAAAGAATTAGACTCCCATGAATTCTCTTTTTCCTTCAAGTAAATGGTACCCTAATTTATGAGATGAAGATGGACTTCCTATTCGATAGATCTGATCTCATCAAACTTCACTAAGCCTTCACTAAGCCATGTGAAGGGGAAGGCAAGGATGGCGACCGCCCCTCTCTTGACGCCTATTTGTTCTTTGAGCTCCCGCCTTAAAAGTGAATTAATATTGAGTAAGAATTATATTATTTGAAAAGGGTAAATTTCTTTTTCCCGCATAATTTATGAGATGACGAAAGACTGAGTATCCACATATTTCTCTATTACATTTCAAGTTGCAAGGGTCATGAGTGCTCTGTTGAAGAAAAAGGGCTAAGAATTGAAAGGAGAGAGAGGCAAGAGTAGCAAAGAATCAATTTCATTAGTAAAGGATCAAGAAACCAAACAAAAATTTGAAGGTTAAGAATCATATTGTACTGTACATTACCAGATGAGGAGAGACACAGCAGACAAATTCATGATTCAGTACCAATCTCCAGTGTATTGATCCTCTGGTCCATTGTCAGCCCTTCATTTAATTTAAGAAAAAATCCAGAATCCACTAGATTTAATAAGAAAAATAACAGACACATAAGCCAGTGATCTCAGAAGGATTTTGAATCAATAGCCTTTTGCAAATTACATTACCTCTGTGCCGTTTAACTTTGGTTGCTTAGTTTCTAAATCCATTACTAGTAGATATTATTCGCCTCGGTCCGTTGGAGTATCGTCGTCAGTCTCACGATTTTAAAACACATTTACTAGGAAGAGATTTCTATACTTTTATAAAGGAGGTTTTGTTCTCCTCTCCAACCGATGTGAGATATCACAATCCACCTATCTTGGGAGTCAGCGTCCGTCGTCTAGCTCTAATACAATTTGTAATGACTCAAACCCACCGCTAGTAGATAATGTCCGTTATCTATCGTCGTCAGCCTCACGGTTTTAAAACGCGTCTACTAAAGAGATGTTTCCACACCCGTATAAAGAATGGTTCATTCTTCTCTCTGACCGCTGTGGGATATCACATCTACTATACAAGACTTGGTTGATAACAAACATACTAGAGGCTCAGGGGCTCCGGGCAAATCAACAAATCTGGTTGTAACATCAGTTTGATCAGGTAGAATTGAACAAGCAGAGCCTTCGCGTTGAAATTCTGCCTGCTTTCTATTCAATCAACCATTTACAATATAACTCAAGAACAGTGAGAACGCTTCATCTGTCTCAATGAAATGGCATTAACACCTTCACTGATGGATATCTCAGTCTGCCTAAAGACAAGGTTAACTTACTTGAATCTTTTAGCAGAAACCAACCATACGTTCACACGACAGGAATCAAATTTGCTTATCCACATCTCTCCTAAACTCAACCACATGATATCTAATTTCATTTGTAAGTGGCTCTCTGTGCAATGGTACTTTATTTGTAAAGTCAGTATACAAAAATTCATATTCATGTAGGAACATCCAGCAAGTTGAGTATCCCAGGCAGCGATGATCAGACACTACCCAGACACGCAGAAAGAATCTCGTGCTTTCATATTCCGAGTTTAAAGTAGAAAAACATCATATCTGGCAGGTGGATCTACTTCTATCTGTTCTTGATGATGAGCCTGATTGTCTACAAATTTATTTAAATTACAGATGGTACTGTAACTGGAAGGTAGATTTTCGTACTCCATATCAGTTGGTACTATATTTTTACTTTGTCGGAAGGAATTGCTACCTACAACCTCTTCAACAGAATTTAGAGGAGGTGGTGATATGTAGATCGATGCCGTATTGATATCCATCAGGAGGAAGTCTCCAGTTCATGTGAAATGTAGGTTTCAGAAAAAGGAACCGAGGTTACAAGAGTAAGTGGAGTTGGGCGGGCAACTCTGCAGAGCCTCATTCATATCTCGAGGAGTGCGTTAGTCTTTCCACTAAGGGACAAGTCAGTGTACTTTAGGAAGCTGGTGAGTACCCGATGTACAAGGGAATTCTTCCCCAGGAGTTTTACCACCCACACGGTTTCCAGTCACAGTTAAATCAACGAGCTCACTACTAGCATTATCAGTAATATTATTAGAAGCTTCCTGTCCAGAGGCAGAGTCAATCTCGTGCTGATTCGACTCGGACTTGTCCCTAAGTACATTATCCCTCAGAAATTGTGCGTCTTCAGTAGATATTTCCCTATCAGTTCGACATTCCAGGGTTTTTATCATATGGTCCCGGAAAGAACTCCTAGACTCTAGGTTGCTTTCCATACGGATTAGTGCATTCAACTTCTTCTGGACAGACATTGCAAGGGATACAGCATGATCACGTATTAAAGAATCATGAGGTGGACAACGCAGCATGTCAATCAAGGCCTTCTGGTACTGCAATAAGCTCACTGATGGTCTTGTAGTCCCTTTTTTACGGCATATGTTAATAACTTTGCACATATGCTCACATAGATTACCCATTTCTGCCCATCGACAATCACAAAGACCAAACTGTGAACCCGGATTCCAGACAACAAGTTTCCTGTCTCGAGTAATTTGTTCGGTAACTTTTGCAGTACTACCTTCAAGAATAACATCAGAGTCTGGAATTCTCAATGCTCTGCGCCAATATGTCAAACCACACATCCACTCATCTTTCCAATACCGAGAAAAACTATTCTTCTCTGAGTACTCATCAAGCCAAAAGTAAGAATGTACCTTTGTACTCAGCTTGCCGACCAACCAGTCTGTACGCTGATAAACAGCAATATCTTTCTCATTCAGCAATCTGAGCTTCAACTGGTTGTGGTAAAGCTCCATTGCAGCACACGTTTCGAGGCTGGTCAGTGGGAGGTTTTTCAGTGCAGTAGTCCACATCCCTAAGACCAAAAAGAAAATTCAGACAATGAGAATTCCAATGTGCTCCTAGCCACCATGGTCTAAAATTCACAATTTACAAACTAACTCCTGCAATACATTCGTCTCTAGATCGATCATCAATACTTTCTTCAAATAGAAAAGAACGAAAAGAACAAAATCCATGTGCTTTGAAATAGTGCTCATGAACAGTGCACTATGACTAAATTAAAATACAAGGGAAATGTGAAAATGCTCAAATTAATAATCAATTTGTGGTCGTCAAAAAGATCTTTGATGACAAAATTATGCAGATATCTCATGAGAAAATGATCACAACAATATCCAACAAGAATGATAAATTGGAAGGAAACCTCTTTTTCTATAAAAAAAAAAAAAAAAAGAAAAAACTCGAGATTAGAGAACAGATAGATATAGACCTAGTCTCGGACACCAGGTTGCCTTAAAGTAGTCAATAAAATCTGGATCATCAATTTGATGTTTAATCAGCTGTTCAAATGAATCCACGTTTTCATCACCTTGGCAAACTCTGTCCACTGCTTGCCCAAGTTGTCTTAATATCTCAGCTTGCTTATCAATTTCTGCACATTTCTTCAATATGTTTTTATGCCATGCATGGCGGACACGCCAAAAGCTTAATAAAACAGAACACTGAAATATCTCCCTGAACAAAATCAAGGGAACACTCTCAAACACCTGACGGTGACATACTTGAATGGAAATAGAAGCAATCTTAAATGCTTCATACTGAAAAGTAGTGAAACTTTCAATCATGTATAATAGCTTGATTTGCATTAATTAAAGCTTTCACACTCACCAATAAAAACAATTTGATCGAATTAATCAATTGAACCTAAAAACACTTTCGAGGTGCAGGAATTTGAACATAAAAATATTTAGAAGCCACTCCTATTGAGAATCATGAGAAAGATCAATTGCAGCTCTTTAAGTGGATTTATCAATGGTGTGCATTGTTTTTATATCCATCAAACAGTTCAGAAAGAGAAGTCACCACATTCTTCTCATAAGTCATAAACAACAAAACTGTAACAAGACAGTATGAATCTATAAGCATCTCTAACTAAGACAACAAGACAAAAGGAAGAAAAAATTTAGCCTAAATTTATAATCATTCTTGAACTATTAAGCAGGTTATCTTTTGATTCTATGAGCCCAATGAACAGAAGAAAGAAATAGAGCAACCTTATTGTTGGTACATCAGCAAGAGGATCATCCACAACAAAGCCAGCCAACTTCCATGACGGATCTTTGGTTTGAACTCTACTATGAAGAGCCCTCATCCACCTATGGGTATCCCCACTAGCAAATCTCGGTGATATAATCCAGGCTACTGGAATTGCGTAGTAGTCTAAATTGAATACTACCAGACTGTGAACTGGAAACTAGACAAAAATGCAGGAAATGCATAATTAGCCTCATCTGACATTGAATTGGATCTTATAATTTAATAAGTTTGAAAGAACTAGGATACAAGAATTGACTGATATACCTTCAACTTGTTTGTTCCAAACCTGGAATCTGATGCAAGTAGGCCACGATTGCCAAATCGTATCATTTGTTGCAATTGCCACTCCGTTTGAATTCCCAAAGTAAAGTTGTTCATATCAGTAAAATCTTCATAAAAGAAAACATTGCTTCGATGGCCTTCAACCCACATGTTGATGCTTACTGCATCATCTTCATCAAGTTCATGAGTGGAACGCCTGATGCTTCTCTCCTGTCTTCTTACGTACCTATGGGTTAAAAGGTCATCACGGTTGGATGGACCACCCTGTTTCTCCACCAATTCATTATGTCTCTGCATAATGGTCTCCACAGAAACACCAACATATAGAAGCGACAATACACGTAGGCGAAGATCTTCAGAGATGTATGGTGCAAACATAGCACGAGTACCCTCAGCCTTCTTGTCTTGAGGACCATGGCATGGCAACCCTGTCTTATCAACATGCTTATCTTCATTATATAAGATCAGTGCAATAGACGGTTCAGCCATTAAGCGTTTGACAATAAAGTGGCAGGTGCAACCCCTCTTAGTGTTTGGCCGCCCAGCACTTTTCTTCTTCGGTACATAAGTATTTCTGCTGGGTCGTATGTCTCCCCCCATCCTATGATCATCAGGACCAAATGAACACCAATACCTATATATTCATTAACATAACTAAACTTTTTAAATTTGAAGAAACAGCAAAAAGAGCTAGCTGAAAACATCCATACATAATATACATATGGGACTTACAAAATGTATTCCAACACACCATCAACCTTTGCCTTGAACGGTGCTTCCAATGCTCGACGTCGCCTTGTTTCAACATAAAATCTGGTTGGACATTCTTTATTTGAAGATTCACCGCGAACGAAATCATCAACTCTAGCAAAAGGGATTACAGCAACTCTATCCATGTTGTTACGCCATCCTTCTACCTTTGACCACACAAGATCAGAAGATGAAAATTCCAAGGTCGGAGGATTCTGTACTGGAAGAGAAAAAATCTCGTCCCATCTGGCCATCTAAAAATGAGACAAAGAAATTGCATGAGTCAATAATTTAAGAAGCGGGACATGAAACACATGTTAAACGACCCACATTTATAAGAAACCAAAAACAAAGTCTCTCTCAGCACAACAAATCAACATAAAAAAAATCCAAATCAAGCAAGAAACCGTCGGCAGGCACAGAGATATACATTATCTAATCAACTTATTAACGCATTGCAAAATCGCAATCAAATTACCAAAATCCAAATGTCAGAAAAAATGAACATAATCTTGTATCCCTCTCTTCTTGTTAACTCTGCACTGGATATTACAACTTACCCATTTATACGAAAAACAATAAGAACGTCAGATTTTATTGAACAGGGGGAAGAATCATAAAGCAGAAACATCTGAGAACCCAGAATCCTTTATCATTTTCTTTAAAGATTTAAAAAAAAAAAAAAAATCGAAGAGGGAAAGGAAGCTAATCTACAGAAGAAAAAGAAGCACCACGGACTTAGCGTTATCTGCAGACCCGAATTTAACCGACCTGTAAGCAAGCAGAGATAGAAGACAACAAAAATGAAGATTCTACGCAGACAAAAAGAAACAATCCAAATTTAGAAAAGAAAAACAGTTCATCACTACAAAGGACCTACTACGCAACTAATTGCAATTAAACGAACTCAAAGTACAATGAAAAGACCTCCGCAACTTCATGTGTATACCTCGTTGCACACTTCACCGGACGAATGAAACTCGCCCTATGTAGCCATCCTTCCCACTCAATATACGTCGGCGAACACAATTTACTGTTCTCCGACTACCGGAAAACCAAACAGGATTCCTGAAATAGTCGTGGAAATCGAGATTGATGTCGGATATAATCCGGGAGAATGGTGTAGGCGAAGAGCTTAAAGCTTTGGTTCTCAGCGAGAGACGAAGGGAACAGAGAAGAAACAGCCACCGGAGGCGGTGAGGCTAGAGAAGGTCATCCAACCCAATGCCAATTATTAAAAAATAAAAATAAATAAATCATAAATCATAAGTTTAAGTCAAATACCAAAAAAAAAAAAAAAATATATATATATATATATATATATATATATATATAT